GGTGATCGTGATGTTTGTCTGTCTGCAGGTTTGGATTGGGCTTGAGAACTAGCCACGGATTGTGTGGCGGAACTTCGACGTCTTGGTAGTGGAGAGCGTGTGGTACGTAGTGATCGAGTGCGGCTCCTGGATCTGGATGTAGCTTGTGATGGTGCAATGGAAGGTACGGCTGGAAAGGCTGAGTAACGGTGGTGTTTTGGTGTGCGTGGTGGTGAGCGATCTGGGTCGCGCCAAATGCCTCTTGTAGTGCTAAGTGTGGGTGCAATGGACGGTGTTGGCTTGGTAGTGCGTGGTATGTGGTGTGGTGGCGGAGGCTGTGTGGATGTGTTGATGGATGCTGAAGCAGGTTGAGTAGTCGCTGGTGAGGTTGTTGAGGTGTAAGGTGGTGGTGGTGGAGTTGGTGTGGTCAACTGCTGTGAAGTGATTGTTGTTGGTGGATCAGGTGGTGGTGCTTGTAGTACATCAGGTGCTTGTAGTGGTGGTGGTTGAAAAGATGTTGTGGCAGGGGTTTGATTTGTCGTGTGTGGTGATGGAGGTAGTTGATGTGGTAGATGTGGTTGATGTAGTTGATGAGGTGGTGTTTGAGATTGAGATTGAGACTGAAGTGGCAATGTAAGATGTGTGTGAGCTTGAGATTGTGGTGATTGAGTGGTGAGATGCGGATGTTGTTGCGCAAGTTGGGTAGTGTCGAAGGGAGCCGTAGGTTGCACTGGAAAATGTGCCTGAAGTTGATGTGGTTGGATGTATTGAGCATGAGGTGGAGGTGTAATGTGCAATGGGTAGTGATGTGAGGTTGGGTGTTGCGGTGGAGTCGGTGGCAGTGTTGAAAAAGGTTGTGGTGAAGCCTGTGGTGGAAATTGAATCCAATGAGGTTGTGTAGGTTGTGGTTGTGGATGGATGTGTGGCGGCAAAGAATAGGGCCAGGGATACGTCATGGCTGCTCGGCAGGTCAAAGACAGTGAAAATATGTATGTATGTATGAAAATAAATACATAAATAAAGGTCCGTGAGGTCGTAGAAATTGTGAAGTGTATTAAATAACCGCAATTAAAATTCTGGAAAATGGAATTAAAACTTGGAAGGTTAAAAAGATTTGAAAGGTTAAAAAGATTGGAAAGGTATGAATGGATTTCCCGGGTGAAACTCTTTCAGTTAACTCTGCAGTGGGATTCAGAAAGGATTTCAGTGAACTCTGCAGTAATCTTCACGTGTGCTGGGTGAGACGATCCAAGCTGAGTTCGAGCAGGTCAATTTCAGTCTAAGGGACTTCAGAGAAAATTCAGGAAACTTACTCCCCCGATGAGGAGTGAACAGGTTCTTGCGGTAACGGCGCCCCGTAGGGATCACACAGCTCACCACAGTGGGAAGAAGCTGCGAAGACACACTTGAGAAGGTTGCTCCGTGGAGCGTGATTTCAGGTAGCTTCGCGGTGTGCATTAGCCCTTTAAATCTAGATATTGCAGGAAACAACGTATGAGACAGCGTTGCACTGACTTAGAAATCTCAGCGATTGAGAATCAAAATTAGTATTAAAATTGCAGGTACGTCACGGTGATCAGCCGTGATATCCTAGTCAACTGCATGGAGCTTCGTTGGCGACAGCCATGCAGCGACTCTGTCGCCCCCTGCTTCTGTACAGAAAAGCTTGTAGGGTAGATTAGAAAAACTAGGGTAGTGTCCTTGGAAACAGGAGTGGACACACACACACACACCCTCACTCTCACCCACACTCACTAACTCTCACTCACGCTCACTCACACTCACTCTCACTCTCACTCACACTCGCACTCACTCACACTCACTCTCCCACTCTCACTCACACACTCTCACTGTCACCCACTCTCACATTCACTTCATCACCGCCATCACCCCCAGTGCGTCTAGATCTCTAGGCTTTCTGCTTACAGACCTCACACACACTGTTTGGGGTCTCTTGCCGGGATATTTTTTCGCCACCTGGCAGGTGAGGGTTGTTAGATTTTGCGCCAGCCCCATCTCCTCCTTCTTCTTCTCCTTCTCCTCCTCCGCCGGACCTCAACCACGACCATCCACGCCCAGTGTTCCCTGCCGGACCTCAACCGCGACCATCCACGCCTAGTGTTCCCTGCCACACCTCAGCCACGACCATCCAGGTCCAGTGTTCTTTGCCGGACCTTAACCACGACCATCCACGCCCAGTGTTCCCTGCCGGACCTCAACCACGCCACCGGACCTCAACAGCGACCATCCGCGGCCAGCGTTCCCTGCCACCCAGTGGTCCCTGCCGGACCTCAACCGCGAGCTCCAGGCCCAAGTGTTCCCTGCCGGACCTCAACACCGCACAACCACAAACACAACCACCGACGCACAACCACAAACACAACACCACAACCACAAACACATCCACAAACACACAATCACAAAGACACTACCACAAGCACAACTACAAACACATAATCACAAAGACACAGCCACGACCGCAACCACAACTACAAACACACCATCACAACCACTACCAGTACCACAAACACAATCACAAACACACAGCCAAAAACAAAACTGCAAACACAACCACTAACACACAATCGCAAACACATCCACAAACACAACACAACACACAACCACAAACACACAATCACAAACACAACCACAACCACAACCACAACACAGCACACAACCACAGCAGACAACCCGAGGACCCACAAGCAAAATCGAGAACTACAATACTCACGACCGTGGCAACATGCTCCTCACTATTGCATCAAGACAAATGATTGAAATGTCATGGTGGGGATCACTCGAAGTAAAGTATAGGAGAAGTGTGGGCACACACATGTCTCGTTTTGCCGTTTTTGGAGTCGCGCAATTGTTTAAGCTCGATTTCAGGAAAACACTTCTCCAAACAGTGGATCGTCCCTGGCAAATCAATTTGAGCTTCAGGCGTTGTTGACTCACAGATTGGTGCATAGGCTCCACTCTCGAAGCCCTTTTCTTGCCCACCAATTTTGCGAGGAAGACCAAGTCTCTGATTTCCAAATTTACCTGTCCTTGGTGTCGCCTGATCCTTCCAGCATGGGTCAGGAATGGTGAACTCAAAAGGTCTCCATGCGTTTCCACTTGCGCTCCCGCAAGAAGATTCCTTCGAAGGTCAAGACTGTCAGTGCTTTGATTGCCGACATTCATCAGAGCTTCGGACGGGTCGGTTACGGTTCATGGTAACTGCTTCGGTTCATGTCAACCAGCTTCACGAAAAGTTTTGACTTCGGGAGACATCAGCATGAAGCTGCCCGAGCATTAGCCCTTTTGCAGAGAAGCAGTCGGTGTGAAGATCCGGGGTTCTCAGAGACAAAGGGTATTTAGAAGGCCAAGATCCGGGTCGGGAACATCATTCTTTCAGGAGGAGACACCGCTGGCCCGGTATAGACTGATCCATTTCCCTTCTTTTAGGGGTTCGAACGGGTCGGTCTCCCTGTGTACATATTCACACCCATTTGGTGTTGCCGCTGCTGTGTCTGACCCGTCATATCTTTTTGTCGCTCTCGTCGATGCACATCAAGGCTTGGCAGAAAGCTTTTCCGAAAGAGTACTATCTCTGACCTGAAAAGGCAAACGTGGAATTTCAGAGGCGCAAGTCCGCTGCAAACGCAGCGCAGCTAGGCCATGAGGTCATCCAGCTCCCATACAAGGCTCCGTCCAATCCTCAGAAGTGGAAGAATCGAGTTGGGGGTTCTCCGGGATGGTACAAGCTAGCCCTTTGCATCACTGTGCCTAGTCCAAGTTTTGGATGGTGGGCCAAGACTGCTTTGACGAATAAGCTCTGCAACTTGGCAAAGCCTCTTGGAATTGGCAAAGTTGAGCTCGATTTGATTAGCAAGGCCATTCCGTGGGCAAGGACTGCAGTCCAAAAGTCTCGCAAATCGGCGCGAGCTCGTGCACTGATGCCTACAGTTTGGTGTCTTCGTTTTCCTGTTGCGCTTAGGTGATCGTTCCTGAAGGGGAGGGGACGTACATCTTCAACAAAAGCGTCAGTCATTTTAGAAAAATCTTGGACCTTTGTCCGCCATTTTTCTAGAATTCTAAAGTCGATTTCAACCTTCATATGTCCCCACACTTGTGGATAGAAGCAAAACCAACCTTGGCTATGCATCATTGATTCTCCAATTTTTCCCGAAAGCATTGCGAAGGGTTCTTCCGGAAAATCCTTTGAACACTGACACTTCGACACTTACACTTCGACACTCACACTGACACACACACACACACACACTGGAAGAGCGAAAGCATCCAAGTGCGAAGTATGCCAGGGTCAAAGTATGCAAGTGTGAGTATGCAAGCATGCAATGACTATGCAAGGGCAAGTGTGAGTATGGAAAATATGGAAAAACTAGCACGGGAGATGTCCTAATGAAAAAACATTTCCCCACTTTATAAATTCTCTCTTAAAGGCGGAGTGTGGGACGAACGGCGTCAACCGAAAGTGCAACCCTCTGCGGAGATCGTGCGCGTGGAGTGCGCGAAATGCAGGCGAGAGTGCGATTTGTCCGGTCCGCGCGCAACCCTCTGCGGAGATCGTGCGTGTCGAGTGCGCGAAATGCAGGCGAGAGTGCGATTTGTCCGGTCCGCGCGCAACCCTCTGCAGAGATCGTGCGCGTCGAGCGCGCGAAATGCAGGCGAGAGTGCGATTTGCCGGCTGTGCGCGCAACCCTCTGCGGAGATCGTGCGTTTCGAGTGCGCGAAATGCAGGCGAGAGTGCGATTTGCCGGCTGTGCGCGCAACCCTCTGCGGAGATCGTGCGTGTCGATAGCCACGCAAAGACTTTGGCTGACAACAGGCAGTGGAAGCCAGCTTGCTGGCTGCCATTGTCCAGATGGAAAGCCAGCACGTTGGCTACCATCATAGTTGAAGTAGCACGCTGGCTACCATCCTAATTGAAGTGGGTAAGCCAGCACGCTGGCTGCCATTGTTGAGATGGCAAAGCCAGCACGCTGGCTGCCATCATAGTTGAAGTGGGTA